AGAAGAAGAAGAAGAAGAAGAAGAAGAAGAAGAAGAAGAAGAAGAAGAAGAAGAAGAAGAAGAAGAAGAAGAAGAAGAAGAAGAAGAAGAAGTGGTTTTTATATCCCGCTTTTCTCTACCCTAAGGAGTCTCAGAGTGGCTTGCAATCGCCTTCCCTTCCTCTCCCCCCAACAGGCACCTTGTGTGGCAGGTAGGGCTGAGAGAGCTCTGAGAGAACTGGGACTGTCCCAAGGTCACCCAGCAGACTTCATGAGGAATAGAAGTGGGGAATCAAACCTGGTTCTCCAGATTAGAGTCCACTGCTTTTAAACAGTGCACCACACTGGTTTTGCCGCCCTTCTGGATTTTCTCTCATTCCCCACTAACAGAGGAGCCCCCAACTCTCTCAGTGCAGAACTCTTCTTTAGGATGCTTCCTCTCCTTGGCCATCAGCACTGTCAGAGACAGCACCAATCATCTCTTGGGGATAGGAAGTAGAGAAGGTAGATCTCCATGAGCGGTTGTGAGGGTGGAGTGAGCAACAGAGGTGCCCAGGTGTCCTCCATCTCAGGAGCTTACAAGGCCATCAGAAGGAACCAGTATGGTAATAATAACAATAATCGTATGGCATGGTGTGTAATATATCCAGGAGATCCTATAGCCAGTTTGGTGTGGTGGTTAGGAGCACGGACACTAATCTGGGAGAACTGGGTTTGATTCCCCACTCCTCCACATGCAGCTGCTGGGTGACCTAGGGTCAGTCACAAGTTCTCTCAGAGCTGTTCTCTCAAGAGCAGTCCTCAAAAGAGCTCTCCCAGCCCCACCTACCTCACAGGATGTCTGTTGTGAGGAGCGAAGGGAAGGAGACTGTAAGCCCCTCTGAGACTCTGACTGAAGGGTGGGGTATAAATCCAATCTCTTTTCCTCCTCCTTCTTCTAAACCAATCTCTTCTCCTCCTCCTCCTTCTAAAATTGTCTGGCAGCCTCAAATTCTAGATCTTTTAGCATTATGCACCACTAGATGGCAAGCTAGACTTCTTTTTTGAGCTGAGAGAGATCTGAAAGAACTGTGACTAACCCAAGGGCACCCAGCTGGCTTCATGTGGAGGAGTGCGCAATGGAACCCGGTTCTCTAGATTAGAGTCTGTTGCTTTTAACCGCTATACCACACTGGCTCTCACCAGCATGGTGTATTGGCTAGAGTGTTGGGCTAAGAGCTGGGAGAATCAGGTTGGAATGCCCACTTGTGTCATCGAAACTTGCTGGGTGACCTTGCGCCAGGCATTTTCTCTCAGCCTAACCTACCTCATAAGGTTGTTGTGAGGCTAAAATGGAGGAGAGGAGAATCGTGGAAGCCTCCTTGGGTCCCCGTTGGGAAGAAAGGTGGGGAATGAGCAAAGTAAATAAAAACAAAATAATAAGGTTTCGTGCAGAATGCCACCAGATAATGAACAGTAAATTTCCAGCTAACGTTTTATGATCTGTTGATTGCAGTTATCTTCTGCCCCCTCCTCCGTCCTACAAGCAGCTCACACAAAATTCATTTAAGTTATCTGTATCTCCAAAGGTGACATTCCCTTGCTCAAAAGCTAGTTGAATCCGGCTCTAGGGGGTGGTGCTCATCTCCATTTCCAAGCCAAAGAGCCAGCGCTGTCCGAAGACGTTTCCGTGGTCATGTGGTCGGCATGACGAAATGCCGAGATGCACGGAACGCTGTTATCTTCCCACCGAAGCGGTACCTATTTATCTACTTGCAATTTCTTGCTTTCGAGCTGCTAGGTTGGCAGGAGCTGGAACCAGAGACAGGTGGGGAATGAATGAATGAATGAATGAATATGGCCTCTAAAGACGACAGAAGGCTTTTTCTTGATTTTCCTGTAACAGGGCTGCCCCTCTGAAAGTTGGGGGGGTTGCCATTCCCCAGTTGGGGGCAGGGGACCCCCTAGTTTTGTGGGCTCCTGCCCGCTGCCAGCCAATTGGGAGGAAATCCTCCCCCCCCCCAAACAGCAACGTTACTGGAAATAAACGCGACATGCCTACATCACCCGGAAGTGACGTAGACATGTCAGTGACGGGGGGGGCAATGCTCTGGTTTGGGGGCAAAACTCTATGGCTTGAGGCTGATTGGAACACAGAGTTTTGCCCCAAAACAAGAGCATCGCCCCTGACATCACCGATGCGCCTAGGTCACTTCTGGGTGACGTAGGCACATCACGTGACATGACGTAAATTCCGGTGAGGTGGGCACGTCATGTGACAAATGTTTCCAGCTCCTGGAACGTCCCCCTGCCGGCATTTCCGACAGACCTGGCAACCCTAGGGGGAGGGCAAAGTAAAATTTGCAAACTGTTCCTTTGCGACTCAGTAACATTTTCCTGCTCCTATTATCCCACACACACACACACTTCCCAAAGGACAGTTCTCTCCAAACGTACATTTTGTTCAAGTCCCATTAGCCTTCCCTAGTCCTCAGACCACAAAAGATAAGAGCTTTTAAATCATATGGCTCTACAGGTATGACCGATCGCATGAGCAAAAGACTGGGGAAACCGGCAAAAGGCTTCTCTGGATCTCTGTACCGGTTGCAGTTTTCTCATCTGCAGTTCCAGACTGCGGGAAGCCCCAGGATTAGGTCCGTGTCAGATGTTCCTCCTTCTCCGGCGCTGAGACTGCACCTGGCCAGCCTTTGACTGTCCTGATGGCCTCTTTTAGGTTGGCCAGTCCAGGTTGGGAAATTCCCAGAAATTTGAGGGTACAGTCTGGGGAGAATGGGGTTGGGGGAAGGGAAGCGCATCAGTGTTAAAGATGTTGATGATTCTTTTTGAATGAAAAGATAAAATGAAGCCAAGATTCTCTAACCCAGGGGTGTCAAACTCATTTGTTATGAGGGCCGGATCGGACATAAATGAGACCTTGTTGGGCCGGGCCACGTGTGCCATAAAATGTCATGCCAGGTAGCAGAGATATAAACTTTATAAAGGACACAAACACAAAGGGTTTTTTTAAATTTTGAATAAAAACATGCTTAAAACATCAGCACTCTTGCGATATTTTGTTTATTTAACAGTGTCTGATAACTGACATCTCTTGCTCTGAATTATTGCATTAAAATGTCTGTGCTGTTGCAATCTTGAGTATGCTGTTCAAGTGTGTATCTGTAAGCTGCAAACCTACAATGACGCAGCAGCAGCAGAACTGGAAGAAGAAGCAGAAGACAGCCAGTTCCACTGCGGGCCTGATAGAAGCCCTCCGGGGGCCTAATTCGGCCCCCGGGCTGCATGTTTGACACCCCTGCAAGTCTAGTCCTACTTTCACTTGTGTACTCTACCTCCAGACAAACCAAAAAAACAACATCGAGGCATACCTCTTGGCAGGACAATGATGGTCTGATACAGGAAAGCTATCTGGACACCTAGGGCTTCTTAAGTCCACACATATCTGAATCAAGTGACCACATACAGAACAAAGTAGTGTGAAAAACCACTACCTATGTAAGGTTGTCAACTCTGGATTGGGAAATACATGGGGATTTTTGGGGTGGAGCCTGGGGAGGGCGGGGTATGGAGCAGGGAGGACCTCAGCAAAGTACAATGCCATAGACTCCACCCTCCAAAGCAGCCATTTTCTCCAGGCGAACTGGTCTCTGTCAGCTGGAGATCTCCAGACCCCACCTGGAGGTTGGCAACCCACAGAGACCTGCTGCCAGCCCACGTTGACTATACTGAGCTTGAGAGAGCCATGGTCTGGCTCAGTTCAAGGCAGCTTCCCATGTTCAAACACAGCTACTCAGAATGAAGATCACGCTCCGGGCCGCGCCTGGCTCCGCCATGCCTTCCAAGGACGACAAGGAGAAGAAGAAGGACGCAGGTAAGTCGACCAAGAAGGACAAGGACCCCATCAACAAGTCTGGTGGCAAAGCCAAGAAGAAGAAGTGGTCCAAAGGGAAAGTGCGGGACAAGCTCAGCAACCTCGTCCTCTTCGACAAAGCGGCCTACGACAAGCTCTGCAAGGAGGCGCTCAACTACAAGCCCATCACACCGGCCGTGGTCTCTGAGAGGCTGAAGATCCGAGGCTCTCTGGCCGGGGCCGCCCTCCAGGAGCTGCTCAGTAAAGGTTTAGTCAAGCTCATGTCCACACACAGAGCCCAGGTGATATGCACCCG